AGCAAGCCTATTTTTTCGTTTGTTTTTAAATAAAGATTGAATTTTACAAAAAAAAGCTCAGAACTTTTTTGTACACCTAATATATGTGTGTGTACTTGCATTAATAATTTGATGCTCAATCAGGCATCATATTAAATAGATGTTAATAAATATGCTGAAAAACTGTAAATTTTATTGCGAAAAATATTACCTCGACCAGGAGGTCAAACCCGAATCTCTTCCCGTATGAGGATCCTAGCCTTTAGATTACCGAGGTCTTAGTAATATTCTTTGCAATAATGTGTGGAAACGTTTTTCTTTCAGGCAACATAATATAAATAATGTAATACAATCATTTGTTTGTTGAATAATCATAAAATACAATTTTTTATTTTCATAATTTTTATCAGCAAATAAAAAATAATCATAAATGTATCAACCGAATGAAAATGAATAAACCGCGTTGAAAAGTCGATGAAAGAGTCAGCGATCTAGCAATTGATTCCTACTTTCCCTTTTGCATTAGCTGCGTTTCCGATGCACTTGCAGCCATGCTATTGCACCGTCCGAACCATTCTTACGCTCGAGTCGAGCGACGATCTATTAATCACGGTAGCAACGCGCAAGGGCGAATTGTTATTGGCCGGTCGCAGTGCCGGTCCAGATCAAAGGACGCCGATGTTCAGCGAGCGAGGTCGACCGGGTGATACGTGAGCGGTTTACGTCTCGACGGTCTCGACGACTCCTCCGGGCGACGATTAGCCACAGATCGTTATGCGTTCATTACCGGAGGCTCCGGTTTGTACGCGCGAGTAACGCGCTTGTCCGTTACAGAATCGGCGCGATGGAGCGCGCACGCCATTTATCCGAACTTTAACGTGTAGATCGTTGGCCTGGGATCCACAGGCAGAGACGTCCACACTAAGATCCTGAAGGAAGAATACAGTTTCGTCCTTTTTTTTGCCTGTTCTATATAATAGAGTCGCAAGTTGTAAGCTGTAAAAAATAGCCAATCATATTTGAATATGACAAAAATAATCAACTATAATTAATTTCTTACGACTTACGGCTTGCGAGCCTATTATAAATAGAACAGGCTCAGTGATAATGATTCCTAGACACGAATGATCGAGATATAATATATAGTATTATATATAGTAAATTGAAATTTTACAAAGAGAAACCAAACAAAACTCGGTTGATTTAAGACTACTGTTGACCACTAATTTTCAGTTTGATGACGTCAGAAGCAAGAAAAACACATAATGATAAATCTTGCAAAATATATTAAAATAGAAATATTTTTTAATAAAACAATATTTATATTATTTAATAAAGTACACTTATAAAATATACCGAAAACTTCATTTATATATTTCGGACTAAAATAAAATCATATTTGTTTAGATCAACTAGACATAATTATCGGCCTCTACTAATTTTTTTACGATACTCTTTTTAAAATAACGTTTACTATTTCGCAATATGAGATTTTAATCTCATTATTGATAATTTGTGATTTCCTCGAACAGTCATTATATTGTCATTATATTCGACAATGGAATTCTTTTTCAGTATTAAAATATACGCATTAATACATGCCTATGAGGTGGATTTTATGTCATTGATTTAATGACAATTGATTATGTCAATGATTTAAAATTGAGATCTTTATCATTTCTTAGTCCAATATGGCGCTCTAGAGCTGTCACGTCGTGATAACACTTGCTTCATATAAAAGCTGTGCAATTTATATTTACGAAATAGTAGTCCACAAACTAATAGTTTGCACATGAATTTCTTAAAATTGGATTTAGACGACTAATTAAAACCTTATCGTATGAAAATTTATATCTATATGTGAGATATTGAGTATAGTAGTATGTAATCATATATCAACATAAATTATCTGTATGTATGTTCTACTATGACTAATCGTTTTTAGCATCCTCTCAAGGGAAATTTTGGTATTTAGAAATAGTTAAAGTAAATTGTAGATGATTCTCCTATTACCTTTCTTCTCGCAAATCTGTTTTCATTAGAGAAAATGTATAGTAAAACAATGTCTTGCGTTTTAAACGTAATTATTGGAATTGTAATCTTGGATGTAATTACAAGCAATGGTTGAATAAATGCGATAAATGAAAAGAAACATCCGATGACTTTGAGCTACCTTCTCTTGCTCTTACTTGGTTTACGAGCTGAAACATTAGTCGAAACAAGTCACATGCTCACGTTGTAACTCGGTAAACAAAACTCCCATGAGGCTGTAAATCGTGTACTCCAGTAACCCATTCTGATCGCCTGAAACTAGAAACCTAAGCAATGAGTAATGACTGAACCGAGTTAGGGCAAGGTTGCCTGATGTATCGCGGTTCACGACAGACGGATGATCGGACTACACAACTTTGCACTCTGATTCGTGGTCATATCGTTTCAACAATAGAACATTGTATATAATTAAATAACTATTTGCACGATAATTTCTTATCCCTTGACGCTGTATATGCTCTTTGGAAGAATCATAAAGGGAAACAAAGTTGTGGGAGTCTTTAAATTGTTATTTTTAAAAAAGATAAAAATATTTGCTTGCATTTACATTTCAATGAAATTATCATTTAGAGTTTAGATGGCACATTGCATATTCCTTCTTTATTTACTATATACCTGTAATTTCTGTGATACTATTTTTACCCTTTTAGAATTTAATCAAAGTGTTATCGGCATTACTTAAC